ACATGACATGATGAAGCAATAAACATTACTGTGGAAAAACTCCATACTTAAAAAAATGAAGATAGTATACTCTATAATGGTAATAACTAAAGATAATGCAAGCTAGATGTTCAAAAAAAATTAAAAGGAAAAGCTAAGTAAAGAATAAAAAACTTGAACAATTAAGAATCTCGACTTTAAACAGCACAGGAGACAGATTTAAATATAAAGATATTCAGGCTTACTTCATCAATTCAAATTCCCCATCGGGTGGTACAAAGCTGACTGTCTTCTCTGAGTTAAACCTCGTCAAATTTACACATTGATGAAAAGTAACATCATCAAGCTCAATTGTTTTACCACTGCAAAATAAATCATAAAACAAAAAATGAATACCATTTTAAATGAAATTATAACGGGGGGTTCATTAACTATAAAATATAGTAACAGTTCTAGACCAATGAAACATCACAATATAAAGAAGCGTGTGAAACCAAAATCCCTTCTTGAATTCTATGATATTCCATGCGTGCTTCTCAGCAGTTGGAAACGTGTAAGAAAGACCTAAGCCAAATTGTTCTTCACCACCACAATTCAAAAAATGAGAAAAGTGGAATCACTCAACTGCTTGTAATTATATTTTGCTCCTTAAAGAAGTTCAGGAAAATAGCAAGAATTAATTGCACAAGACAGCGTAGTAGTTTTTTTCTTTTCCCTTTGACTCACCAATATAGAACAAATACACGATCAAATAAATAACATCAAATCTAGAGTATAAGCGGTCTTTTCCCTTAAAAGAATAATAAATAATTAAAAAGAGAAAGTAAGAAGAAAATGGGCTAAATTATTTTTTTAAATACCTTTATTCTTTTAAAAAATTTAATATTACCATTGATCTTTCATAAATATTTTAAAACTACTCTTGGAGTAGAAAACTCATTAGAATGTTCGGCAAAAAAATCGATGTAGGCAAATGTCATTCTTTTAGACTTAGCATCATTAACTTTTTCTGTTTCATCTAAACTAGTTTTTAAAAAAAAAAAAAAAAAAAAAGTAGCCTTAGACGGCTGAGATAAATCAATAAATCATATGGTTGTAGAGTATCATTCAAGTCTTCCATGAAAAATTACCTTTTAGTTGGACGGGCCTTCAACTGCGACTCTTTCTCAAGGCCAATCTTATCATTTAAACCCAACTTTAAATCAGGCATTCCAGAAAGAAAGCACTTCATAAGAATCTTCCCAGTTACATCACAACGCAAAACACTTCCTATAATCACCAGCAGTTTATAAGGTTCCACAAGAGGTATGTAATAACTGAGGAACTTTGAAAGCCATTATCTACCTTTTGAAGACATAAGAAGGTTTACACTTTCAACAATATCCAAAAAGACCTGCAGAGAGAATGTTCAGAATTCAGTTCGTTGCTCTAATCATGCAAGGAAAAAAGAAAGAATCATCAGTCACCTCGTTCTTTTTATATACAAGGCCTTCCCTTCGCCAACCAACAGCACCTGTAACTTGTAAAGTTGCATTCGGGACAGGTTTATCTGCAGGCTTTTTTACCATAGGGTGCAAAAACAAGGAAAATAAAAAGACATCAAAAAACATCAAATTTAAACAGACATTTATTCCTCTTTAAAACAACATTTTTACTTTAACTAGAAGAGAAAGATTTAATGATTGAGAGAAACTTCACGATGTTATAGTGTATGACTAATCCTCTTAAGAAATACAAATGGACAGAAAATTATTAAGAGTGAGATGGATGTAGAAAGAAATTGTAAGATACAGAAAAGTTACAGCTATGCACCATTAACATGCTCAAAATCTGGCTTATACCACTAGGTTGTTGGAGAATATGTATATATTAGCTAACCTTGGATGAGAATGGTGAGCGAACTCCTTCTTGAGTGATATATAGTTTTAGAATTTCAGGCGAGAGGTTTTGTGGATAACCAAAATCCATTATTTCTGCCAATTGCAAGGGAGATATCAAATTTCATGACAGAAACGCGTCTAAGTTTTCATTGAGAAAAATGTAAGAATACAAAGAGGCATAGCAAGAATTAGTTCATCAAGATGTTTGAGAATATAAGTAGCATGGATGACAGTAAATGTTCGTGCTAAACACTTCAACCACAATAAGCAAGAATGGAAATAACCATCAAGGCATCACATACCATCCAAAAGCTCGTAAATAAGAACAAAATTGTTTCGAATTGCATCTTCATCAAAAGCCCCACCAAAATAAGATTTGAACAGCCCAACAGCCTGTAAGCAAACTCCATCATAAGTTCCATAAAAATAATACGTTTCCTTCTTTTTCTTTTTCTTTTTCTTTTCTTTTCTTTTTATGGGAAACACACGTTAAATAACATAAAAAGGAAAAACACAGCCTAAAGGCCTTAGGGATGAGAGGTCCATAAGCTAATCCAGACAGTAAAAAAATAAAGGGCATTCAATCTAGATTGATGAGCATGGGCTACATATTACAAAAAGAATGGGTTAACACACTTCAAGTGTAGACAATGAACTGTACATTCTCACACGCATACACACACGCAAGCACACGCACATATATATATTTGTGTGTGTGTGTGTGTTCCCTTCATTATTTGGCTAAAATTGTTTTCATTGAAATTTAGCTACTTGAGCAAAATAGAGTTCATAGTTTATATTCTAAAAGCGGAAGCTAAATATATTTTTAAAAAGGCAGCTTAAATATAAACTCAAAAATAGTTAATTAAGCAAACATCAAAGTTAACTCATGAAGGAAAATAATATTTCACAAAAGCATAAAATCATAAGGAAGATGCTAAGTACCTCAACAACAAACTTGAATGCACAAGCTACATTTGCATTGCTGCTAACAACAATCACAATGTATACGTTGCTAATTCTCATGTAAAAGAAAGAGCAACCACCAATCTGCCGCACAGGACAAGTGCCAAGTTCTTTGGTTTGCATTATATGTGTTCGGAAGGCATCCACCATATTTCCCCTGAGAGAATTCATAAATGTAAAAAAAAAAAAAAAAAAAAAAAAAAATAAAAAAAAAAAAAA